TCTTAGACTTAATCTTTATCAAAAACTCKTAGGTAACAAATTAGTCCCCGGCAACGGCGCCAAAAACTTGATGTGGTGGGTTATTCAAGTTTTAAATTTATAACCCTAGATAAAGCTSCAAGTGCACAKGCAAACGCAGTAGTACTTAKGGGTCGATCCAYAGAGACTAGAGATGATACRCTAYGAATYTATGTGATGCAAATTAAGCTAAGACAAAATATGATTTTTTGTGGTTTTATGAGTAGCAATTATAAAGCAAAGAAAGTAAAAGCTAGGATAAATCAATAAGAGAAAAGCATTAGGCACTAGACAATTCGCAGAGACTCATGAAACACATAAAGATATCGGGTTTTCWAAGATCRTTCTAGAACTCMAATCACYAATRTAAAATTAYACCACTGTCGTGGATCAAACTTCTCTGTCTTCTTCTCTAATAGACTCAACTATCGTATGGTTATTACAAGGTGAAGACGCGCGTAAAGTGTAAGATTCGATTGTTCATAATACTCCATAACTAACTGATATACCCTATATTTTACCACTTTCACTATCTATTTTACTACGGTTTTTATATATATTAATAAAACTTTTCGACCAAAAGAGGTAGAAACTTGGTATGGAGATAGCCCTTTACATATATTCTCAAACTGGACAGAACATATACGCCAGAAGTTCATTGATGAACGGAGGACCAAATCAATTGGGAATTTAATGAAACTTGATATGGAGATAGCCCTTTGAGTTATATTTCCAATGGAGTTAGAATTTCATCAATTCGAGCTGTACTTTAGAAGATACACTGGAAACACTGAGGACATGTCAAACTGCCTTCGAAGTGAAGTGAGTGCACAAAGGAGCCAAGCATCGGGCCGCCCATGGGCCGATGATCCAGACCTTTGTCGACCTTCTAGAAACACAAGGAAGCCTCTAATACGGGTCACAAAGCCTGACCGTTATTGTGACCGGTATTACCTCAGTTTCGACTAAAAAGACGTTGCCTGAAGAAGCCATAGCCGACTTAAGCCTCCTTAACCCCTATATATACTTGCTTTTAGCCTCCCTAGGAACTTAAGCAGCCGGCCATAACAGCCTAAATCAATACCTAAACATGTATTTCGTTTTTCTCTTGTTCTTAATGCATATTTGATTCTTTACAAGCTTTTAAGGATAGATTGACTTTGCCCTATTGAGAAGAGATGAGATCTAACTCCTTACGCTTTGTAGATCAACTTTATACTATGTTTATGTGCTTTACTCTTGCTGCTACTTGTTGCAAAACATGTTAGAGTACTAACTTTGATTTGATTTCTATGCACTTTCTTAATTCTATGCTTTTACATACTTAATCGATTAGACTTTCATTCTAGAATTGATTTTTCATCTTTATTTGCTCTCAAACCACGAACTGGCTTAGCTACCCAGGGGTTGATCTTAGGTTGATATACTCTCCAAAAGCTTGCTATATCTCCGGACCTAGTATTCGATGAGCTAAGCATCTTAACAATTCGATAGGTTAGTTAAGGAGTGTAGTGAACAATCAATCTTAATCATAAAGCATGTTTTCACCTTGTAATAACCTGCGATAGTTAAGTCTATTAGGGTGCAAAACGTAGATGGTTGGTTACGTCACGATAGTAGGATGACCTTACATTAGTGATATGAGTTCTAGAACAACTAGTCTAAAAACCCTAATTCGATTGCTTGTGTTTTGCTTATGTTTTGTGAATTGCTT